AGGCGTGCGCCACCATGCCTGGCTAATTTTTGTATTTTTTGGTAGAGACAGGGTTTTGCCATGTTGGCCAGGCTGGTCTCGAACTCCTGACCTCAAGTGATCCACCCACCTCGGCCTCCCAAAGTGCTGGGATTACAGGTGTGAGCCACCCACCGTGCCCGGCCAACGCTGCCAGATTTTGAAACTAACCAGGAAGTTCATCTCAGGCAGACAGGGTCTGGGCCTGGGTAGCGTGTGCTGCATGCTCGCCTGATGGGGTGTCACCATGTGCCAAGCCAGGTATGAGGGATCTCACGGCTTGGTGGGCTCCTGAGACATGGTCCCTTCTCCCCATCTGACAAGCTCAGGAGGAGCCTAAAAATGTACAGGGTCTTTGTCTAGGGGACATTAAAAGACAGTGAGGTGTGGTGGACAGAAGGCAGTGGCCAAGGCTTCAGGATGCCTTGTATCTAGGGTGGCTCCCCCACTGCATGACGGCAGGCAGGCCACGGAACTCCCGTGTCTCAAACACCATGATCCGCAGATTGGCAAAACTTGGATCCTACCTGATAGGAAAGAATAAATAATGCTAAAAATCTGGTTCTGCAATCTCAAATACTGCAAATGGTTTTCTCCCATCCTTTCAATCCTGTGACTTGTGTTTACATTTCTGCCAATGTGCTTTTAAAACAACATGACTGTGTTGCTGGGTGTTTACACTTGAGAAAACGTATGTAAACGTTTGTTGTAAAATTATGAAGCTAAATGCACCTTTGCTGTTCTGTGATTAATGGCCTAGCCCTCTAGACTGTGAGCTCCTCGGCAGGGACCAGGTTGTATTGACTTGGTTTTCCAAGTGTCCTGCCTGGGGCCTGGCACATAGTAGGTGCTCAATAAATGTTTCTCGAGTGCCCTCTGGGTGTGTATTCCTGTGTGACATTTTTCTAGTGCGTGCTGGTCCCTGGAGTGTGGTTCTCAGCACAGGGTGGTTGCTACAGTGACTGTGGGTGGGAACTTCATCCCCACATTGTGGCCAATAGGGGTCTCCCCAGCCTCAGCCAGGACCCTGGGGACTATGTGAGTGTGTGTGGCCAGCAACTGTGTGTGGCACCTCTGGGCTTCCAAGAAAGAGTTGGAGAAAGTGGGGCTGAGGATGTGACTCCAGCCGAGGCTGGAAGGACCTTACGGACGGATTGCCTAGGGCTTTCCTACTCCACACTGGCTTGGAGTCCCTGACCCCGGTCCTGCATCCTGGTACAACACTGGGGAAACTCTGCACAAATGTCGGTGACTCTCAGGGCTGGTGGTGGCACCTTCATCCATGTGGTGCTGAAGCCCAACCATGCGTTTAGTTGAAGAGGTTGGGGAAAAGGGTGCCACTGCCCCTGACTGCTGAGCCACACACCCATTCTCTGACTTCCCAGTCCTCCTTGGCTCTCTGAAGCCAGCCACCTCCTGCCCTCCCAGCTGCCTTCCTTGGGATCCAGGTGTGGAAGATCTTTTGGGATACCTAACAAGGAAAAACTTTCTACATTTCCAGTACTTTTGACACCAATGTTAGTGGGGAGGGGGGCGCCCACACCAATTCTCCACCTCTCCAGACACCAGCCGGCTGTCCTAAAATTCAGTTCTGACACTCACTACCCAGAGTTAGCCCGGACCCCACAGGTCTTCGAAGGGCTCAGTCCCAGCAGACTGCCCCTGCTTTAGATACCAGTTCTAGGTCCCAGCTTGTCACCTGCACTTCTGACCAGCCCAAATTTGGAAGTTCCCACAACCCCCTCCTTAGGTTGGATAATTTGCTGTAATGGCTCACAAAAATCAGGGAAACAGGCTGGGCGTGGTGACTCAGGCCTGTAATCCCAGCACTGTGGGAGGCCGAGGCGGGTGGATCACTTGAGATCAGGAGTTGGAGACCAGCCTGGCCAACATGGCAAAACCCCATCTCTATTGAAAATACAACAATTAGCTGGGCGTGGTTGCGGGTACCTGTAATCCCAGCTACTCGGGAAGCTGAGGCACGAGAATCACTTGAACTCAGGAGGTGGAAGTTGCAGTGAGCAGAGATCATGCCACTGCCCTCCAGCCTGGGTGACAGAATGAGACCCTGTCTCAAAAAAAAAAAAAAAAAAAAAAATTAGGGAAACATTTACTTAGGTTTACTTACATTTACTTACGTTCCCTGATTTTTGTGAGCCATTACAGCAAATTATCAAACCTAAGGAGGGGGTTGTGGGAACTTCAAAATGGTTTATAAAGGATGTCACACAGGATATAGACAAACAGGTGATGAGCTACTGAGGGTGAGGTTCAGAACCATTCCAAGCACAGGAGCTTCTGTCCTACTGGAGTTGGATTGAGCCCCCCCCTCCTGGCATGTGGGTGCTGTCACTGACCTGGAACCTCCCAAACCCCATTAGTTAGGGTTTTGATGGAGGCTTCATTAGGCACGATTGATTAAATCATTGGCCACTGGTGATTGGTTCAATCTGCAGCCCCTCTTCCCTCCCCGAGGTCTGGGGTAGGGATGAAAGTTGCAATCCCCTAATCACGTGGTTGGTTTCTCTGGCCACCAGCCCCATCCTCCAGAAGTCATCTCATTAGTGTGAACTCAGGTGTGGTGAAAAGAGATTCATTTTGAATAACAAAAGATGCTCCTCTCTCCCCATCACTCAGGAAATTCCAGGAGTTTTAGTTCTGGGCCAGAAACCCTGGTTGAAGACCAGATATATATGCCTTTTTTTTTTTTTTTTCTTTTTTTTTTTTGAGTCGGAGTCTTGCTCTGTCGCCCACACTGGAGTGCAATGGCATGATCTTTGGCTCACTGCAACCTCCACCTCCCGGGTTCCAGTGATTCTCCTGTTTCAACCTCCTGAGTAGCTGGGATTACAGGCGCCCACCACCATGCCTGGCTAATTTTTGTATTTTTAGTAGAGACGAGGTTTCATCATATTGGCCAGGCTGTTCTCTTGGCCAGACTGGTCTCGAACTCCTGACCTCGTGATAACTCCTGCCTCGGCCTCCCATAGTTCTGGGATTACAGGTGTGAGCCACCCACACCCGGCTGTTTTTGGTTTTTTTTTTTTTTGAGACAAGGTCTCGCTCTTGAGGCCCAGGCTGGAGTGCAACGGCATGATCTCGGCACACTGCAACCTCTGCCTCCAGGGTTCAAGCAATTCTCCGGCCTCAGCCTCTCGAGTAGCTGGGATTACAGGTGCTTGCCACCACCATGCCCAGTTAATTTTTTGTATTTTTAGTAGAAATGGGGTTTCA